GGGGGGCACTGTCATCCTGCAGGGACAGGGGACATGGGAGGGACAGGGGGCACTGTCATGCTGCGGGGACATGGGGCACAGTCATCCTTCAGGGACAGGGGACATAGGGGACATGGCAGGGACATGGGGCACTGTCATCCTTCAGGGACAGGGGACATAGGGGACATGGCAGGGACAAGGGGCACTGTCATCCTGCGGGGACATGAGGCACTGTCATCCTTCAGGGACAGGGGACATAGGGGACATGGCAGGGACAGGGGGCACTGTCATCCTGCGGGGACCAGGGGGACATGGCAGGGCAGGGGTCACTGTCATCCTTCAGGGACAGGGGACACGGCAGGGACAGGGGGCACTGTCATCCTGCAGGGACAGGGGACATAGGGGACATGGCAGGGACAGGGGGCACTGTCATCCTGCAGGGACAGGGGACGTGGCAGGGACATGGGTCATGGTCTCTGTCATCCTGCAGGGACATGTGGCATGGGTCATCCTGGGGGGACATGGCAGAGATGCGTCAGAACACGTGGCATGGTCTCTGTCACAGGAGGGTGACATGGCCAAGACACGTGGCAGAGGTCATTCTCGGGGGACAAGAGGGGACACAGGGAGTGCCAGGGCACACCCAAAGGGGATGGGCACACACAGGGAGGGGACATGGCCACCCCCTGTCCCCACCCTGGGACATGTCCCCCCCATCACAGGGCTGTGTTCCCCAGGACACATCCCTGCCGTGGGCTGTGCCCTTCCTCCTACCCTGCTGTCCTGTCCCTGCCCTGGACTCCACCCATGTCCCCAGTGTCCCCCAGTATCCTCAGTGTCCCCCATGTCCCCAGTGTCCCCGTGTCCCTACGGTTGGTCGTGGCGCTCGCGCAGCTTGGCGGCCGGCATGAAGAAAGAGTAGAGCATGGACACGCCCTGGGACAGCATGGTGATCTCCAGCCGGTGCTCCTTCTGTGGGGACACGGGGACAGGGTCAGCGGGGCTCGGGGACAGCGGCCACCACGGGAACCCTGCGGCCTTGGGGACATCAGCCACCATGGGTCACCCACAGGAACCTCATGGCCTTGGGGACATGGGCTACCACAGGGGTCAGCAAGGCTTGGGGACATTGGTCACCACGGGGGTCAGTGGGGCTTTGGGACATCGGCCACCACAGGGGACATGGGCCACCACAGGGGCTTGACCCTTCCCCACTTCCCAGCACTCCTCTCTTGGTTGGGGTGCCTCAGTTGTCCCCTGCCCCCCTCCCAGTCCCTCCCAGTTCCTCCCAGTACCTTGAAGTAGGCGAGGAACTGGCGCAGGGTCATCTCCTGCCCGTCGGGCTGCAGCCCCTGCACCTCGAACCGGTCCCACAGCGTCCACTCCACCTCGTAGTACTGGGGACACGGTGGGGACGGTCAGAGCCACGGGGGGACCCCAAATCCGTGCTGGGAGTGACCCCTGGCCCCACTGTGACCCCAAATCCCCTCTGGAAGTGACCCCCAGCCCCACTGCGACCCCAAATCCCCTCTGGAAGTGACCCCCAGCCCCACTGCGACCCCAAATCCCCTCTGGCCTTGCCCCCAGTGAGCCCACCCCGCCGTGCCCTCGCCCCCCGGCCCTGGCAGTGCCCACCTTGTTGCGGGGGCAGGCGAGGGGCTCAGAGAAGCCCACGAAGGGCAGGGCCAGGTTGAGGAAGGCGTTTTTGTAGGAGCTCAGCCGGCGGTGCCCCTGCACCAGCTTGAAGAGCTCCAGGCACGCCAGGCCCACCACGGCCGCCGTGGTGGTGGCGATGGCCGGGATGATCTTCCCTGCGATCAGTTTGCTCTGGAAAGACAAAAAAAGGGATTTAGGGTTTAGGGGATGGCCCCAAAAAACCAGCCTGAATGTCATCCCACAGAACCCCCACGGCATCACAGCCCCACTGTGGGGTGCGTATGAGCTCTGTGTGTGCCCCACAGCACCCAACAATAACCCCACAGCACCCCACAATAACCCCTGGAACACCCCAAAGCACCCCCTAGCACCCATAATAACCCCACAGCACCCCACAATAACCCCTGAAATACCCCAAAGCACCCCCCAGCAACCATAATAACCCCATAAAAACTCGCCAGCACCCCATAACAACCCCCGTAACACCTCCCAGCACCCATAAAAACCCCACAGCACCCCACAATAACCCCTGAAATACCCTAAAGCACCCCCCAGCACCCATAAAACTCCATACAAACCCCACAGAACCACATAACAACCCCTATAACACCCCCCAGCACCCATAAAAACCCCATAGGTCCCCGCAGACCCTCACCCAATGTGGCATTAGCAGCCCCCCAGTGCTCCCTCATTGCTCCCCCGTGTTCCCAACCCCTCCACCAGGGTGACATTAGCAGCTCCCAGCACTCCCAGTGCTCCCAGCCTCTCATCTGCAGTGACACTGCTGCCCCCACAGTGTCCCCCAGTATCCTCCAGCCTCTCCCCAGTGCTCCCAGTGCCCCCCAGTATCCTGCAGCCCCTCCCCAGTGCTCCCAGTGCCCACCTTGTGGCGGTCGGCCGGGGGGATGTCGTAGTTCTCTGCCCGCAGGTTGGAGGCGGCCACGATGAAATCCATGTGGAAGTTGGTGTCATCGTCCTGGGGACAGCCAGGGAGGAGTGAGGGCACCCAGGTGGGCAGAGGGCACCCAGAGGTGGGTGGGGGGCACTCAGGGGGGCAGCACCCACCTTCTCAAAGTCGATGGGGAACATCCGGAACCCCGGGAGCTCCTCGGGGCTGGGCAGCGACGCCTTCAGCTCCTCCAGGCGCCCGTCATCTGTGGGGAGGGAGGGAGGGGCACATGTGAGACCCCTGCACCCCACAGCACCTGTGGGACCCCTCTGGCACCCCCACGGCACCTGTGGGACCTCCAGCCTCTCACCCACAGTGGCATTCAAAGCCCCCCAGTGTGGCACTGGCAGCTCCCCAGTGTTCCCAGCCTCCTTTCCCAGTGCCCCCCAGTTCTCCCAGTGCCCCCACAGCCCCTCTCTCAATGCCCCCAGTCCCTCACTCAGTGTTCCCAGTCCCCCCAGTAACCCCCAGCCCCTCTCTCAGTGCCCCCCAGTTCTCCCAGTGCTCCCAGCCCCTCTCCCAGTGCCCCCAGCCCCTCTCCCAGTGCTCCCAGCCCCTCTCCCAGCGCTCCCAGTGCCCCCGAGCCGTACCCAGCGCGGCGCTGGCGCTCTGCAGCTCCTGGTCGGACACGTGGATGCGCACGCCGGCCTTGGGCGCGAAGGGCGGCACGCGGACGTGCCGCAGCAGCTCGGCCACGGCCGCCCGGTCCCGCGAGCCCGCGATGCCGTAGCTCTGCGCAAACAGGTTGGCCGCCGCCACCACGTAGTCCAGGTGCAGGGGCTGGGGGACACAGGGCACAGGTGGCACCCAGAGGGGCATGGGTGGCACCCACAGGGGGCAGGTGGCACCCAGAGGGGCACAGGTGGCACTCAGACAGGGGTGGAACCCACAGGGCGGAGGTGGCACTCAGAAGGGCACAGGGGACACCCACGGGACATACGGGGCACCCACAGGGGTGCAGGTGGCACCCAGAGGGGCTGGAGAGATACTCAGAGGGGCAAAGGTGGCACCAACAGGGGGAAGGTGACACCTAAAAGTAACAGTGCAGCACCAAAGGGGGTGAAGGTGGCACTGAACAGTGACAGGTGATACCCAGAGGTGATGAGTGACAACTAAAGGTGTGGCACTCAGAGGGAATGGAGTTATCCTGCTGGAGCACCCACAGAGCACAGGTGGCACTCAGAGGGGCACAGGTGAGGTCCCCTCCCCCCAGGTGACCCAGCCCCTCCCCAGGTGACACAGGTGACCCAGGTGACCCCACTCACGTTGTCGGGGTCGAACACGAGGGGGTGGGGGCAGCGCTTGGGCCCCGACCAGAACAGGGTCCCCGAGTTCGTTTTCTGGGGGGAGAAAGAAAATTTGGGTTAATGAGGTCATTAATTGAGGTTAATGAGTTATTAATTGGAGTTACTGAGCAAATTGTTTATGGTAACAAT